TGGGATGGGATGGGATGGGGTGGATGGAGGTGATGGAATGTGAGGGGATGGTATAGACAGGGTGGGAGAGGATGAGGTGGGATGGATGGCATGGGATGCCATGGGGTGCACCAGTGTGGTCAGCACTGTGTGGCCTGGCTGGGGCCCATATTTTCCCCTCATCACCCTCTGGAACAATCACCCACCACAGGCACAGCCAAGCAGCTCTGCCTGCTGCCACCAGTGCCAAAATGAACCTCTGTGATCTCGTCTTTGCCTTTCACAAACCATCCAGGCTCTCTGGACCTGATCCAGCAAAGTCCTGACATCCCAATGTAGAAAAATTCCTGCCAGGACAATGCTCAGAGCATGATCCTGCAGCACACAATCCATCAGTGCTGTTTGCCTGGCAGGACCTGTCAGTGCTGCTCCATCTCACAGGGTGGTTTGGGAGGATGAAGTAACTTTTCTTGGAGTTCAGGATCCCCTGGGCAGAAACACAAATGAAACAACGAGTTTTGTATGATTTTTTTTTTCTCTTTAGTGCCTGGATAAGAATCTTAAACACTGAGAGCCCTGGGGTAGAAACTGAAGCTGTTTGTAAAAAGTGGGAATAGATCTTCAGAGTAGAAAAGGTTAAGGAATGGGAAGAAATGCATTTTCACTGACTCATCTAGTTCATTCCAGAAGGAAAAGCTGGAAGTGTCATCTCTGTAACACAGCAGGAAGCAATATATAAACTTTAAGTTAGAGCAGCAAACCATTCTCCAAACATTCTGCTTTACCTCCAAAGATGTTTTCGCTCATGAGTCAGGGCTGATCCAGAGCCAGTGGGAATGTTTCTATTTACTTTGAGATTGTGCCTGCAACTGTAAATCCAACTTATCTATCCTGAGGCACACAAGTGATCTCTTCCAAGGCTTGAGTCTTTTCTCCAAGGATTATCAACCCAAACTACTATGAAATCCAGCTTTGTGCAGAGCTCGGTGAGCTGAGAATGGGGTGGGACAAAGGCAGAAATGAGCCTCTCCTCCTCCTCCTGAGAGTCCCAGAGCCCCTGCAAGGGCTGCACCGACGTCTGGTGCTCACCTAGCCAAAATGTTTCACCTCCAACCTTCTCCCAGCTGAGCTCCAAGGCATCCTGCCATTTTGGGGGCAAGAAAAAGTGAATTTGTGAGAGCAGCTAACCCTTCCCTGCCTGCCTGCAGGGGCTCAGGGCTGGGATGGGGGAACAGCAGCCCCTAACACCTTCCTCTTCACCTAGGCAACGTTTCTGTGGACCCAACAGACATCCCCACACCGACAGCCATGGACATGGGAGCACAAAGCACCAGCACTGAGGCTGCCACTGGAGCCACTGGAGCCTCCAGCAGTGCCAAGACAACATCAGCAACACCTGGTAATCACTGTCCTTGCTCCCCCTGCTAGTCTTGGTAGAGTTGGTGTTAATAATCAGACCTTGTAAGTGCACAGGCTTGCACAGTTGGGGCGTGGGTTGTGCTCTCAGAAAAGAGGCTGGTAATGTAATCAAAAGCTTTAATCCTGTCTGAAAAAATCACACCTGGGGCAATCTAACCCTGCTGTCTTCAGGACAGGCAGATTAGACCCATCCTGGGCAAACCAGCTAGGAGATGATGGCACAAAAAGCTCTTTAGTCTTTATCTCAACACATGTATTCTTTGCTCAGCAAATGGCACTCCTAAGAGGTTTGCCAGGTTTTCCAGAAGAGGGCAAAGGGGAATGGCTTCGAGATGAAGGGGGATAGATTTATATTAGATATTAGGAAGAAATTCTTCCCTATGAGGGTGGTGAGACACTGGCACAGGTTGCCCAGAGAAGCTGTGGCTGCTCCCGGCCCGGGTGGATGGAGCTTGGAGGAACCTGGGCTGGTGGAAGGTGTCCTGACCATGGCAGGGGGTGGGACAGGATGATTTTATGGTCCTTCCAACCCAACCCATGATTCTTTGATAAGAGTCAGGCTCTGAAACCCTTGTGTGGATGTCAGGAGTCTTTCTCTCATGCTGTTTGCAATCAGTGCATCTTCCTGAAGCCTCTGGGTCAAGGAGGAGTTGAGGGCAGTGCTGGGGAGGTTGGGGGATGGCACCTTGCCATGGTGCAGCATGTGCCCAGGAAATGAGCCCTTTGTAAAGAGATTATGAAGCACATGTAACAATTAGGCAACTGAAGCAAGTCTAATGTGCATTTCTTAGAGAGCCAATAACCCATTCTGGTAGCGCTGGCTATGACAAATCAATATTGTGCTTCAGTCAGTGCAATGCCACGCACGGAGTTTAGAGGACTTAAGCTTTCTCATGTGTCCTTTCCCTTGCATTTCTTCAAACCTGAAGCTGCAGTGGGGTCTGTGGCAGCCAGTCCCAGCTCCCCAGGGCTCAGCAGTGAGCAGACGAGCCCACAGCCCAGTGGGGCACCCACAGTGCTGCCAAGCACCTCCTCAGAGCCAGAGCACACGAGCCAAGGGGTTCCCACCACTGCCAACCCATTGACACAGCCCCTCGAGACAGCAGAAACCTCAGGCTCCACAGCAGCTATGATGAGCTCTCCCATCACCTCAAGGCATCCTCCTGTCTCAGCTGTCACCACACCACCACACACGGTCAGGGACAGCCCAAAGGTGAGGATGGGGCTGGGTGCTGATGGCTGTGGGACCACAAGAAGGTTGGATTGTCTCACAACCCCCCAACAGGTCATTGATACCATCCCTGTGTGTTTTCCCTCCCAGCACATCACCTGCCACAATGTCAAAGAAGTGAGTGACACTGGAGCCATCTGCTTGCAGCTCAACGAGTCCAACACTTGTGTGAGTTATCCCATGTGTCTCCAAGTTGGGGGGGAATGTGGGATGGGGAGGTTGTGAGCAAAGAGCTGAGGGCAGGATCCTGCAGCACTTTCAGGCTTGCAGCAATGGGGTCACCCACAATCTCTGGGAGGACAGTTTGGGGTGGGGACCTCACGCTGTTGTTGCTTGGGCAGAGTATCTGAGCTGTGACAGGACTGATGGACATGGGGATGGTCACAGGAGTCCCCAAAGGGATGGATCAGCCCTAGGGAAATGCAACCTCCTGGTTGCATAAAAACTCTTCTTTTCAGCATTGAGCTCTGGGGTCAGTTCAGCTTCTAAAGTATCTCCCACCATGTTTAACGGGAAATTGCCTTTGTTCTTCTTCTTCCTCTTCCCTGTTGGGAACAAAAGTGCCTTTTTTTGTCTTGCCAACTGCCCTAGGAAAGAAAACAGGGGGTCTGAAGGAGCTAATCAGTGTCCCCATCAACTCCTAAGGGAATCCCAGGCTCTCTGTGCCTGCCCTTGGCCTTGAGCACCAAAAATGAAGCATTTCTAAAAGCAAAAATGTGGGTGGGAGGCAAGAAACCTCTCTCACTGGAGGTACAGCCTGCCACAGAGGGTGGATGGTGCTGGATCTTGTGGGATGGCAGACTGGGCAATGTCCTGGGTGTAAAACATACATAAAATCTGTAGATTTACTTGTGCCATTCAGCCATGCCACTGCCACGTAGGATGAGTGAATTTTTACTTGGCTTTTTCTTGCAAATCAGTGATGAAATGGCATTTAGACTGGCTCCTGTTTACAGGGACTGCACTTTTGCAAGAATCCACATGGGAACTCCTCTGTGATTCTGATCATAGATGCCATCTAGTGGGCTCTGATCCCTCCTGGGCACAAGGTTTATGCAGGACAGATAGAAATGGGTGCATAGAGATGATACAGGATATCCTACAGAGTCGTATCTCCCATACTCTTAATTTTCCATGTGAAATGAGTCAAACAGCCTCACTTCACACCGTTGTCCTCTTAGGAGCTCCCACCCCACAGCAGATCTCTCCCCATGCTCCACCTCAGCCATCCTGGAATGGGAACAGCCAGCTGAGGCTGAGCCTGGGAACCAGATAAGAGTGTCTGCAAGGGGAGCAGATAGGTGGGACCATGTGTCTCCCTTTCCTGCTGGCCTTTCCCAAAGCAAATGAGCAATCAGCTGGCACTCAGCTCTACTAATTGCAAAGGGAAATTCTGACACTCCGATGAGTTCTTTCCACAGCAGAGAAAGGAAAATACACACTTGGGTCTCTTGTTCCATCTTGGCCCTTGCTCACCTCAAGCCAAGCTCTATAGAAACAGCTGAAAATGATTTGTTTGTTATTCTCCCATGGATAAGTTTCTACATTTTTGTACACTAAGAGGATACAATACCGAGGCAAAGAGAGGAAGGCACTGAGCCTCTTGGCTCTGCACCATGTTGCAGGACAGGAGGGTTTTCTCCTCTTTCACAGCCCCAAGTTAGAGGAGGGGGAGGGAGAGAAGGACAGGGGGTTCAGCTGCAGCTGTCTCCAGGGGTGGGCACAGCCACAGCTCAGCCCATGTCCCCAGCTGGGAGGATGTTAGGGAAGCTGATAAGGTCTTTTAGCAACTGTGAGCTCTGTCTCCAAGCCTGGCTGTGGCTGAAAATAGACCCGAGGAGAAAGCCTATCCTGTCTGCTACAGAAACTGGCCTACAGAAGGGAAAGGCTGCAGCTCCTCACTCCTCTTCCTCTTCCACCCAGTTCAGCTCTAAAATGTGAGAAATTTGTATTTTTTTACCTAGCCTTTGATCAGCAACCTAGCAAAAACACTGAAGACATTTCCTAAACAGGAAAGCTCAATGCTTCTTTGTTATTTCCCTTCTTTCCCAGCCCCTGCCTGGGACTCTGAAACAATAGGGATCTTCAGGAGGCTGTTCCAGTCCAAAAACTGGAGAAACTTGCCATGCAATTCAGACCCTAAATTTAGCTTTGTTTAAATGCCATTTTCAAGAGCTGCTAATAATATCTTCCTCAAATTTATTCTTATTAAGATGAACAAGAAATAAGCATCTCCATTTTCTAGGTGTTGATGTTGGGGCTCTGGGCAGTGATGAAGTGGGAGGTGAAGGTCTGACCACTGGCTCAGCTTTACAGGGCCTAGATAAGCTACCAAAACACAAATGTGACTGCACAACAGCACTATCAGCATGGCTGAGATGGAAAATTCATTCGTTTGGTTGGTTTAATGGCTGTTCTTTTTGAAACTCTTGCTGCAGAAACACTTTTTAGAGAGGAAAGGATTGGATTTATGGAGAGCAATCTGTGAAGAGAGCACCCACCCCGTTCCCTCCCCATGCCAGATCAAACTGGCTAAATCCGAGGTGGATCAGGACTGTATGCTCCTCATCCTCGTGGGAGAGAGAGGTCAGTGGAGCTGAATCCTTTGGTTGTCATCACTAGTGCTGGAAAATAACCTCAGTGTGGGCAGTGGGAGAGAGTCTCCTGTGGGGAAGGGCTGTGGGACACAGATCCTGGAAGGAGATGTCTCTCTGCAACTACTGCTCTTTCTCCTGGGGTCCTGCTGGATCCAGGGGATCCCTGGAGCCATGGAATTGCCTCCAGAGCAATAGAGAGGCTCATGGCTCTTCCATGCTCCTCCAGGCTCTTGGATGATGGCATAAGATGCAGTGTATGGAATGCATATCTGTAATGTATGTAATGTGCCTCTCCTGTTTTAAACCTTGCAGATCCTGCTCCAGATATGCTCCAGAAGTCTCATTGGGAAAAGGTAAATTCCTTAAGCAAATTCAGCTGGGGAAAAAAAATGGGTGTCTTGAGTAGCTGGAGAAAGATTTTGAAATGGTTAGTTGAAGCTGAGGGAGACACTGAGCCCTAAACCTGTCTCCAACTTGGAGATGCTCATTGAGCATTGTCACGTGAGATCTCTAGAAGTGTTCCAAGCCAGGTTGGATGGGGTTGGGAGCAACCTGGGCTAGTGGAAGGTGTCCCTGTCCATAGCAGGGGGTTGGAACAAGATGAGCTTTGAGATCCTTTCCAACCCAAACCATTCTGTGACTCTATGGTTGGAGCCAACCACCAGCCATGCAGTGCTGGTAAGAGAGCCAATCCAACCCCTGAAGGCAGAAATGCTTGTAAAATTCTGTAGTGTTTTCTTACAAAAGGCCTAGATGCCAACAACAACTCTTAGGATGCCATTGGCTCTCAGCTACTTCAAAGCACCAGACTGACATTAATTAATTCCTCCCCCTGAGGCTCCCGTGGGGCTGCCATTGGCTCAGGATGCTGAGCTCCAGGTGTCTGTAGACACATAAATGCTGCAAGAGCAGAGCACAGAGAGATCTTCGCCGTGCAGATGTGTTCTCTAAACCTCAGGGTCCAAGAGAGAACAAAATTCTCTGTGCCACAGGAGACTCCAGGTTGGAAACCAGACCGTGAGGACGTGCACACAGGGCAAGGGCAGAGCTCAGGAGGTAGCCAAGCTCAGCTTTGTTTACGTGCAGTTTCCCAAGGAGGTGAAGAGCAGCATTGTTTGAAGTGCTGCCTGTTCAGCAGATGCACATGTTTCCTGTTTGTCCCACTCTCGGCTCTCTTTGGTGTTGCTTTTTTTTTTTTTTTTTCTTTTTCCAGTTTGGAATAAAATCCCTTAAACAAGGGAGCGTGAGGAACCACCAGGACTTTTCACAGAAGACTCTGATTGCTTTGGTCACATCTGGACTCTTGCTGGCCTTCCTGGGCCTGGCTGGGTATTACCTGATGAGGCGACGGAGCTGGAGCCCCACGGGAGAGAGGCTGGTTAGTGCTTACCACTGGCAGAGCCACAGGTAGAGAGGAGCAGCAGGGAGGTACCTGGCTGGGAGAAAAGAGGATGCTCCACACCCTGTGGCTCTGTACCCACCACCCACGAGTGGCCCCAGGTGGATGGGACAGCTCAGCCCTGCGTTGTGGCCGAGCTTGGGTCAGCCTGGGCAAGGTGAAGGGCAGGAGCAGTGAGGCCAAGCTGAACAGGGTGAAAGGAAACCTCTGTTGCCTTCCAAAGTGAACTCAGAGCTGGTTGCTCCAGGAGAACTGCCCCTTTCTCGCACATACTGCAAGGTCTAACACTTATTTTTGCTCAGCAGTAAGAACTCATCCAGCAAGACCCTTCCAGAGACACTGAAACCTTATGAATTTGTCATTAAAAGTGACACCCTTTAATTGCCACTCGCTGCGTTTGAGTTCTGTGTCTGTCCTCTACCCAATGCTGTAATAAAGGCTATTTCTCCCCTCACTTAACAAGAAATGGTAATAAAACACATCAAGAAAGAAAGAGACAGAAATCTCCTATTTCCATTTTCCCCTTTCCAGGCAGACTGAGGACTCTTCCCTACCAGTGACTTCAGGGACATGACCCTCTGTAAATGAGGCTGGGCCATGCTTTTCCCCCATCACTGAACAACAGGAGCTGTTGTGTCCTGGGAAGACATTAGGTTGTTTCCTTGCCAGAAAGGATGTTCCCAAACACACAGATGGGAAGTCAAGTGCATATCAGGGACAGGGACATCACAGCTTGGGCTCTCCAACCTGCTGTCCCCAAGTCCCTGGATGATGCCAGCAATGAAATCCATGGCTTGGAGCTGCCCATGTAAACTCCTGGCAGTGTCAATTCAGGTTGTAGGGGAGATGTGTCCAACAGACCCATGGATGCAGGTGTCAGCAAGATACTGGGGCAGGTGGGAAGTCTGAGAGCCTGTTGTGTGTGTTGGATGCTGCTGAACAAACAAGGAGCAGCTACCAGCTGGGAATTGTCACCCAGGATCACCAGTGCCTGTTCCATGGCTATCAGAAATGTCATGGAGTTATCATCAGGGAGTTCTGCATTTCTCTCAATCCTCCAGAGGCTTCTGCTCCTCACAGCAATCATGGTGAGCAGCTCTGCACCTCTGCTGGCACCTTGCTGGGAGCTGTGCACC